TGATTTTTTTTTACTAGAATTATGGTATTTTTTATCAGAAACGTTATTATCATACTGAGCAGAAATTTCATCAAAACATTTTTCTGCATGGAGGAAATTGATTAATTGGTCAAATAAGGATTGATTTGAGATATTTTTTTGAAAAAAACTTTATTTAAGTGGACACATTTAAGTAATTTATTTCCTTCAAATCTTGAAAACAACTCCGAATTTTTTTTTCGTTCTTGATAAATATTTTATCAAAGGCATTACTTTAAATTAGAGATAATTTTTATTCTAAAAGGACAGAATTTATTGTTACGCATCGATGGAGAAATAATCATTGTAAATTGCGAGGAACATGTTAAGAAACTAATATGTAAGGTTGGGTTTAAAAATTTTAAATGAATTTAGGTAGAAATAAATTGCCTAAAAGTTAAAAAAAGCGTTAAAAATAATACCGTACAGAGCATTGAAATAAACAAAACTATCCAAATATTCTAAAAATGTATGCCTGAACAATTTTAACGCATCATCTCAATGCTTGAAAGTTTGACAGCTATGCTAAAAATGGCTTAAATAATAGCTTAAAAATTTGACTAATACGTCTTTTATGTTTCATTAAAGCATTTTAAATTGAACTAAAATAAATTATAAGCATAGGAATTATAAATTATAGCTAAAAAGCTATAAGCTTATGGAGTTTTCTTACATGTCTCGGGACTTTGAACAATTTCTTTTTTGACGAGCATGTTTTGAAATATATGCCACTTTTTTAACACAAGCACACACACTGACAAAGCAATATTTAAATAAAAAAAAATATTTTAAGGCATTTTTTTAAACTTTTTACGGTCAACATTTTAGCGGGGAAATTAAAAAAAAATTTATTTACATTCAAAAAATATCAATGGAGCTTGAAGCAATTAAAAATTTAATTGAAAATTTAAAACTACATAATTTTTTATTGGCAAAATTAAGATACCCTTGACTTATTATTTCCTAATATTCTTCGGTTGAAATTTTTAAGCTATATTTTTCTGTTCAAAATAAATTATAATTAAATTTTCAACTTTAAAAATGATTATTTTTAATTTTATTGAAAAGAACTACTTCTGCGAATAAGTTTACATAATTAATGCTCAGAATTTCAATAGATATACTAATTAAATTTTTAAAGGAAATATTAAATTTAAATTTGCATCAGCAGGCCAGGCATGTAAATACTTATTTTTAATATTTCTAACCTAATTAAAACCTTGTTGATATGAGATTCGTGAAAGGAATGTAATTATTTTCATATTTCCAAAAAAAAGTAATTTTTCTCATTTATACATTATATAAGATAAATTTAAATGGAGTAGAGTTTACACTATTGAGAATTTCTTATTTAAATTTTTAAATAGTTTATGTAATACTACGCTTTCAGTTGGATCTTGTAGAAAATTTGGGTTTGTGCAACAAAAAGTTAATACATATCCCCATCAGTTATTGATTCCTTCAAAGTTTTATGTTAAGTAAAGTTATTTTTCCTTACTGATTAGTAACTTAAAATATATTTAGTTAATGATACATTAGTTGAATAAGTAAAATATAAATAAAAAAAGTTATTATTTCTGCTTTCTAAATTTTATATCAAGTAAAAGCTATTTCGCTTTACTGATTAGTAAATTAAAATAGTATTAGCCAATGCTATATTACTTGAATAAGAAAGACAAGCTAAATGAAGCTAAAGTTGATAAAAGAACAAAATAAAAGAAATTAAATCGCTAATCTAAAATCGTTTCCTGAAATCTTAATCAAGTGGCAATGATTATGCAATTTAATCTTTCCAAAACTGAATTACCGAACACTATTATTCGACTTGAAATGATTGTGTAAACCTAAAGTAATATTTAGCATACACTGTTAGATATTTCTCGGAAAAATTGGTTAAATAACAATTTATTTAATTGTTATTTTACCATATTCAAACAGAACAATCAAATAACTATACTTAAGATGGCATTCATGCTGTTAACTGTGAGAGAAACCGTTTGTTAACTGCTTGCACCAAATACGGTTAAGAAACCAAATTTCTATTACACCAACTAGGCCCACCCTTTGATGCTATTCAGCTCCTTGCAGCTGGGCACATATTATAACCGAGAGGGCTGATCTGTCTATCTCATGAACGGAGGTTTAAGTCCCAGCGTTGACATCACGATATTTCTCCCATTCCCCTCAACGCTTAAAGTGTTTCGAGTGTTCAGCATTCCCCAATTTGTGATCCTGGACTATTAGAATTTGATACTTTTACTTCAGTATAGATGGCGGCACCATAAAACTGCTTAACATGAAAATGTATAATATTTTCATGTTTGTTGCAAATGGTAAAAAAACGGTATAGTTTTGTATTCATGCGGTTTAACTATACCAGTTTTAAATGGTTTCAAAATCGTAAAGGTAAAATGTTCTTTACTGTAAACTTTACAGTTAATTGTATGGACAGACTGCTGCTGGATATTTTACCGTAATTTCAGAATAAAAATTCTAACAGTGTACTAACTAATGTACAGGATTATGATTCAAGATTGATTCTGGCATTAAAGCAAATACAAATGTTTCCTATAAATATATTATGAGATACTTTCTAGTGTAATTATTAAGTAGGCCATTGTTTTGAAAAATATTAGGTGCATAGCAATATTATCTTTAACTCATCTTCAACCAAAGGTATTATGAAGGTATATTTTTCACTTATTTTATATTTATGTTTTCTTCAAGGGTTCTAAAATTATTAGTAAAAATATTTGTAATTCAACTGTAGTAAGCAATATCTGCTGAGAAATTTTTGAAATACACTAATTTTGTTTTAAAATTTGAAACGGTTATTAACGAATTCGACTTTTTGAAAATCTATATAATTACTCCAATTGAAAATAATCATACGTTTTTATGATGAATCGATGCTTCAAGTCCTGTAAATAAATCGGAAATCAAACAAATTTCATTAAAAAAAACAGTGATCAACTAAATGGTTTGTCCATTGAATCAGTCAATGTTTCAGATATACCCGATTTCATTTTTTTAAATATTACTTTAAATACAAAAAACTTTTCTTGAGTCTTAATTAATGTAATTTAAGAATGTTTCAATGAAAATAATACCAACTTTTATTAAATTTCTTAACCGAAAATGCTTAGCCTAAAATGGGTTACCAAAGCTTCAATTTTAGACAGTACCTATTATATCTTGAAGAATGTCAGCAGTGCTCTTAGAAACATGGTAAAAATAAATTGCAACATTAATTTGTCAAATTTTTCAGCTGTTGTATCATGTTAAACAGTTTAAATAAAATTAATTTTCACTGAATATTTCAACTTGATGGTAAATTTTTAAACTGACTGGGAAGTTAATAATAAGATTTTCTTATACAGTTGTTTTTTTTTTTCACTGAAAAGTCAACTTTCACCCAACATAATTAAAAAGAAAAGTAATGTATTTGAAAAAAAGATTTTTGCTAAAGCTTGCTGGAGTGTAAAACCCTCCTTCAGTTTCACACTTAAAAGCTACGCAATTTTATGGTTAGACTACTGAAATTTTAGTAATGTATATATCACTTGAACATAATTACTAAATGAATGTAAGTTAAGACGTAAATGAAGAGCTGAGTACATGAAGGCTATATTTGATATTTTTGAAGAAAAAAATGAATTATACCGGGAAAGTAACTAATATTTTGTTTTATTTCACCATAATTTTTTTCTTCTTATTCTATACATTGCAGTGTATGAAGATCCAAGTGACAGCCGCTGGCTGCGTTGATAGTGGAAGAAAGACTTATGTGTATTTATAAATAAACAGTCGACGAGTATCTTTAAAAACCTATCTTCTAGGGGTAAATTAAAACTGCAAATATGTGATTTCTACGAGACAAGCATACGTTAAATAAGTATTCTGGCTTTACAGATTTCACCAATTTGAAGCTTACTTACACTGTTAGAAATTTCTCGGAAAAAATGGTTAAATAACAATTTATTGAATGGTTATTTTACCATATTTAATCAAAGCAGTCAAATAACCATAAATAAAATGGTTATCAAACTGGTAAGTTTGAGAAAAACTGTTTGTTAACTAATTTCACCTAATACGGTTAAACAACCAGAATTTTATCGCACCCACTAGAACCACCTAATGATGCTACTTAGATCTTTGCAACTGCGTACATATCATAGCCGGCTTATCAGTCGATCTCATAACCGGCAGAACTGGAGTTCAAGTCCTAGTGTTGACACCACAATAATTCCTTAATTCCCTTCAAAACATGAAGAATTTCCAGTGTCCGGCACTCTCCAATGCCCATTACCTTACGAAAAACAGAGCTCCTACGTCTAGTTAAATAATTAAATGTTTGTAAATTTTTTTCCGTTTTTGAAAAATGCTAGTTGTAAATGGTTAAAAAACCCTATAGTTTAATATTCATGGTTTTATAACCATACTTTTTGTAAATGGTTTCAAAACCATAAAGGAAAAAAATGTTCTTTACAGTAAACTTTACGGTTAATCGGAAGGACAGACAGCTGCCAGTTATTTTACCATAATTTTAGAATGAAAATTTTAACAGTGTACCTGAAATAAAGGCAAACTATACTCTTACTCGGCCTTCTGAGCCCAAGTCTGCTGGTTCGATCCCCGGCCCAGACACCGGATTTTTGGGAAGCAGAAAATCTTCAGTGGCCATGTCGTATGATTATGCGGCATGTGAAAGATCCCTGGAGTGCCTCATTGGCTCTTGGCATTTCCGGCAAAATTAAATTCCCAGTGCACTTTAGCATCCTAATAGAGTCTCGGTACTGCCATCTAGTGTGGCAGAAACTAGATGTCCAAATTAACATGACCAACGGTATCTCACCCATTGTGGTGGTCCTGAAAGAGTGGATACCACCTCTGGAGAACGCACTAGGTCTGCTCATCGGCAAGACCGATTGTGTAGCTCATTGGAAAAAAAAAGAAAAAAAAAACTATACTCTTTACTGATGTCAATGAATAAACTGGAAGGATTATTTACTCAAATTCGATAAAATATCACTTAGATAATTTATCAATTCCTTAGATCTTAGACAATTTATCAATGTAATTCTTTATGTATGAGGAAGTATAAAATTTATTAAATTTACCTGCTCTTATATGAACGTCTCTGCTCGCAATGGTTCCTACAACATTTCTGGCTACACATCGGTATACAGCTGCGTGTACATCCTGTCTATATTCCTCAGCTCTAAATGGTGGGAAGACTAATGTTCCATCAGGTCTAGTATGCCTAAGTCCAGTGATATCTGACAGAGGTGTTCCATCTTTCTTGATCCAAGTCACCTGAGGTGTTGGATTGCCTTGACAAGAACAAGCAATAGCCGCTCCTGTGGAGTTCATAAATTCCACTTTGGCATCTGGTTCGACTGCGAAATAGGGTCCTCTTCTCTCTGCACTGGATATTACGACTGGAAAGACACGATTTAAAAATTAGCATTTCCGAAATATTTTAACATTTCTAAAGGAACAAACTATTCATTAAAAAAAAACTATTTAAAATTGCAAATTATGCTTTGATTATACACTATAGATCCAAATTTCATATTCAGTCAATTTGATAATCAATATTAAAGTATCTTATACATTATAATAATATAAAGTAATATAACGCTAAGCATGCGTAATCTGTATTTTACACTGAGAAAAGGAGCATGGTCAGAACTATCAGATGATGACAAAATTTACCATGTTTCTCGTTCTATAAAAATACAACAAAAAAACCCGATAATTTTTACCTCAGCGCTTTAATAATATGTTTGGTAAAATTAACAACACAATATGCTTTTAAATTGTGAGACAAACTTAGATAAATGTGGTAAAATTTAATACACGATACATTCAAATTTGATAATCAGTCAATTAGATAATCGATATTAAAGTATCTTATACATTATAACAAGATAAAGTAATAAAAGGCTTCGCATATACTATCTGTATAGAAAGGAAGCATGGTCAGAACTATTAGATTATGACAAAATTTACCATGTTTCTCGTTCTATAAAAACACGAAAAACCTGGGTAATTTTTACCTGAGCTCTTTAATAATGAGTTTAGTAAAATTAACAACACAATATGCTTTTATATTGTGAGACAAACTTAGGTAAATGTGGTAAAATTTAATACACCATACATTCAAATTTGATAATCAGTCAATTTGATAATCGATATTAAAGTATCTTATACATTATAACAAAATAAAGTAGCAAAAGGCTTAGCATATACTATCTGTATAGAAAGGAAGCATGGTCAGAACTATTAGATTATGACAAAATTTACCATGTTTCTCGTTCTATAAGAACACGAAAAACCTGTATAATTTTTACCTGAGCTCTTTAATAATGAGTTTATTAAAATTAACAGCGCAATATGCTTTTATATTGTGAGACAAACTTTGGTAAATGTGGCAAAATGTAATAATTTTACATGATAGCTTAGCTAAGCTATCATGTAAAATTATTACATTTATTACATTATTAAATTATTACATTATTACATAAAATCGATTTATTCAGTAAAATTTATTTTCAGTTTGCATTTTTTAACTAAATATGAGATAATATGAACTATAATTTTAAAAACAACACTTTTCAGTGAATCTTTAACCATATTTTTTTTCTCTTTTTTTTATTTAAACGACTTAAAACTCCTCATGCACCACAAAGTATAGCATGAGGCTTACAGTAGAAAACAAAAGGAGAAAAATTTACAAATTTACATTAAAAACAAAATTCCGCAAGGCCGCAAGACTTTCAATACTTTTGACCAGTTCTGATAAGACAGGTGGCCAACAAATTGAAAGACGTCTCAAATCAGTCTTTAAATTCATTCGGGCACTCGCATACAGACTACAGTGAAGAAGAATATGTTCAGCATCTTCATCAGCATCACCGCAAGCACAAATTCCACTGGTCTGCAGATGGAAACGAAATAAATATCTCTTAAAATTTCCATGGATTGTTGAAATTTGGTTCTGTTATGTCATGTCTATTGGGTCTATTATGTCTGTTGGGTCATGGTTTGTTAAAAAATTTTCTATTCATATGGTTAATCTTTAACCATATGAATAAAAAAATTACTCTATGAATAGCTGAAATGTTTTTGATATTTTCTTTTTTACTTGCATATGTACTCCTCCACTATATTTTCTCATTTTTTTAAACTTTTTATTACCAGAAATCACATCATTATTAAGTACGCAATTTTTGCAAGATTTCTTTTTACAGTGTAACGTTCCTAATACCTATAGAGTAATTGCAACAACTCAGATGCAAAGAGTGTCCCGGAATAGTAAAGTGGTACACTACAATATAAGACTACTTACAGCATCACCTGGGGGAAGCATGTGGTTTAAGTGTTTCTATGACAAATATGATATGGGGTAGAAGAGGAAAGAGTGAAATAAAATGTTCCAGAAAGTAATAATTTGACACGAATCGATATGAGCCTTGTAGTGCGGACATTAATTCTTTTAGTGGATTTTATGGTTGTTTCACTCAGAGTGCTCGAGCGTTTTACCGTAATTTGATCTGAAATTTTTATAGTGTGTGATAATGCGGAGTTGGCTCTCTGTATATAACTATAGCACCATTCTGAATACTATAGAGCATTATCTATTATATTCTGCAGAAAAACATACATTATATATTGCTTACATATTATACACCATTACATTATGACCACCCTCCATCCATAACAATGGGCTCGGCCAGGTTTTCATGTTTTCTCGCCCCGGAACAATGTTTTCATGGGGCACATTAGGACCCATAGTCCTCATAGAACAATCCCCCTGACGTCTGTAAGCTACTTGAACATAGTTGCTGACCAGGTTCACCCACTCAAGGCAACAGTTTTTTCCTGCAGGGGATGGTGTTTACCAACAGGATAATGCACCATGTCATAAGGGTCGAATCGTCATAGATTGGTTCAAGGAACATTCCAGTGACTTTCAAGTCATGTCTTGGCCCCCAAATTCACCTAACCTTAATCCAATAGAGCATTTGCGGTCCTATTTGGAAAACCAAATTCGTGCTGCCACGCTACCCCCTCGCAATGTGAGGGAATTGCAGGACCAGTTGGTGAGCGCTTGGTACCAGATACCTCAGACTACCTATCAGCACCTTGTGGAATCAATGCCATGGCGGGTGCTAGCAGTTTTGAGTTCTAAAGGTGGTCCTACATGTTATTAGCAGGGTGGTCCTAATGTAATGGCTCTTCGTGTAGATTCTTCTTTGTTTTCTTTTATAGTATAAAATGCTCAGGTAAAGTATAAGATATTATTCATTTCATAATATGGTGTCAAATTTTAATCATTCTATATAGAACGTTGTTTTGACTATAAGTAGGACAATTAAATTCTATAATTTCTTAGCGATATATAAAACAGATAATAATGCTTTGATATTTAAGGTTTTTCGTTTCTTTTTAAATGAACACAAATTCAAAAATTCGTTATTTTTATAATACCTAATAAATTCAAAGATTTAAAATCTGTTTCAATTTTCTGAAAAGTTCATACGATAAAAGTTCTTTTTAATTTAATTCTTCTCAAGCAAACAATATTTGATTTCTTTTCGGATAAAAAAAATCCATTAACAAAATTACAGGATGTCTTTAAACCAAAATAAAAAGTAATAGTATCCTTTGAATCCAAAAGATTCCAAAGTCAAAGTTAAATTTGAAAAAAAAAAAAAAAAAAAAGAACAAAAAACGGTAAATAATCGGTGAGATCAGAGAGGACGGAAACAGCAAACTTAGCAGGAAAAAAAAACTTCTCTACTTTTACAAAAATGTCGATAAAACGTATTAAAGGAATAGTTGATGCTGCAATGAAATAAAATACAAAAAAGGAAACAAAATACAAAACCGAATTCTTTTTACTCTTTGCCAGAGCTGAGGGATTAAAATTCCCACAAATAACACTTCCTTTGACAGTTCTTCGTCGATACTCCGTTGTCTTTTCTTTTTGATTCTTCTATTTTTATACTTTTATCTAATACTTTAACGAAAAAATTCTTGGTTTACGGGTGCCATCTGTGTTTTTTACGCATACCCTTTGTTCGGCAGATGGTATTTGTTTTCCCAAGAAGGCGGTTGTTACACGGGACTTGAAAAATACGGAGTTTTTCTGAATATTTTGTCACACTGTTTTGATTTTTATTTCCAAATGCTAGGTGATGTCTGCCTTGAGAAAATTGAAACTGGAGAATATATATTGATTTGAAGTTTCTGCTGAAGAAGTCTAATGACAGTGTTTCTTCTTCTCTCAAAGAGAAATGGGGAAATTTTTTTTCCCCTTTCTTCTTTCTGAAATGTTGATTACCGAATCGTATATCTTGGGTTAGAATGTTGTGAAAGAAATTGCTTTGGAAATATTTTCATAGTTTCTTGAAAATAAAGTATCAAATTGAAAATGAAAAAGTGGAAAAGTAATTTCGATAAAAACCTTTGCATTTCTATCATACATATACCTTATGCATGAAAAATTATTATATACATATACAGAGCGCCAAAAATAGAAAAAGAAAAAAACAAAGAAATGTACCACACTGAATAACTTTCGATCTAATCATCGGATCTTCATGTTTTAGAATTCATTCTTAATGGATCGAGAGGTTGACCTCAAATATGATAATTAATTAGTCCAGAAGATATTTTAAGATACGAAATCAAACACAAAAACGTACTTTCTTTGAATAAACATATATTTTTCTCTATTGATTATCGGATTTCTGACCCACAAAATACAGGGGTTAGCCACAATCTGGAAAATGTGGTCTCCAATTTTTGGTTAAGAAAGTCCAAAATTTGAACCCATTAATGTTAATTTTACCTTTTGAATATTTCGCCATATCTCGAGATCTTTTTAAGCGAATGGAAATTTTTTTAACACAATTATAAAATTAGTTAATCCAAATCGAATTTCATTCATAAAATTAATTTTAGTAAATGTTTATTATTTTTATTATTTTATTAGATAATAGTTGGGAGAACTTTGAGTTCTAAACCATAGAATTTTTTACCTCATTTTAAAATATGTAATTTTTCATGGCGAAATTCAGAAAATTCCAGAAATTCCTCAAGAACTATTCAACCGATTTCACTCAAATTTTATGATTTGCCATGTAAATTATCTTACTTAAAATTATGTAAAAAAAACTGTATGCTTTAGAATTCAAAAATTGTTTGACCATTATTTAATAAAATAATAAAAAAACAATAAATATTTATCAAAATTTTCTTTTTGCATAGAATTATTTTTGGATAAACGAATTTTATAATTGTGTTAAAAAAGTTTCAATTCATTCACCTCAAAAGTTCTCTAAATTTGGAGAGATACGTAAAAAGTGAAATTAACATTAAGGGGTCCAAACTTTTGACTGCTCTCTTGACCAAACTATGGGGACCATAT